AAAAAAAAAAAAAAAAAAAAAACGTAGGTACACAACAATCTAAATCGAGGCCCACGTCCTTGTTTTCTTGACTCGAGGACAGGCCCAGGCCTGTACGGACATTTGATATGACGGGGCCTCGAATCCTCCCATGGGTGCCGGTCACAGTTTTTTTTGCATTTTTTGAAAAATTTCGTGATCTATAAGTTACAAGGTCATGATACGTACAATAGTAACAATCATATCATTAGTGGGAATACGGTACAATTAGTAAGACGAGATGAAAAAAGATGCAGACGAGGCGACGCCTCATTCGTATTGCGGGGGAATGATGGGAAAGGGATCAATTGTGTATATCTATATATATATATATATAGATGTGTAACGATGCTGCTGCTCTGCAGAGCCGAGTAAGTACTGACGGACGCGAGTTAACGCGCCCGGGTTGAGCTGCTGTACTGTTGTTGCAGCAGAAGTATACCGTTATTGCTCTAGTGGTAGCCATAACTGTAGCCGTTGTCATGGGCGGGGGCGGAGGCGTGAGCGTAGCTCTCCTGGTGATGGACCACGGGAACGGGCACGTGCTTTTCTGCAATTAAATATAAAGAATATGTTGTTAATGGTCTTGTTTGTGAGATATAAAATTACTGCACACCAATGTGGATAAAAAAAAAAAAAAAACAATCAAGATTGTTAAAGATGGCATTTTACTAACCCACGGGGTAAGGTACTGGTTTTGGCACCGCAACGGGGTATGGTCGGTCAACGTAGACTTTGACCTACAAAAAAATGTAAAATTTAATCTAACTATCATTTATGCATTAATTTTTTTTTAGTAAAGAATAATTTTTTAAATGATACATTAAAATAACTTTCACAGTATTCAAAGTTAGTTATAGGCTTCTTACCGGAACGTGTACTTCACGTATTTGAGGGTACGGAACTGCATACGGCACTGGTACTTTTACAGGGACGGGGACCTAAAAAATAATTACAAGTCAATTGATTGTTTTGCCTCTTCGTAGACTGATAAAAAACATGTTTCAAGTCTTATAGTTAAAATATGTTTAAAAAACCAACTAGACCTATTTCCTAATGTGACCTAAAACATGTAAATCCAGATTGGTACTAAAAATTGGTACATTTTAAAAATACTTGTCAAAATAGGAGTTCGAAACCTTGTTTTAATCAATCAGCAGTGATTTTTCAATTCTTACCGGCTTCTCGACGGGATACGGATGTGGTTCAGGTACCTGTAAAAAAAAAAAATTTATCAAGATGAAATTTTTTTTCTAAATTTTCTTCCAAGGTGCATTTAAACTTACCTTGACTGCCACGTGTTTGATGGTTTCAACTGGATAGGGCTGAGGGACGAACACCTATTGTATAAAATATTTTTTTGGATATTAAATCATATAATTATATATTATGTAACAGTCGAAATTAAATTTCAAGATGCCACCTTTACAACAACATTTATGTGTCCTGGGAGTCAAATTTTTTGTTCATTTTATACTAGAAAAAATTATATATTGTTTTACTTGCAAAATATTAATTTTTACTCATATATGAGTCGTAAGCAGGATCGTTAAACAATATTAAATACATTTTTTTAAATTATTAAATTATGTCCCTGTAGAAAACATTAATAATATTTTAATATTTGCTTACACGATTTTTCACATTAAGAAGTGTGTGTGTGTGAATATGCGTGTACCAAGAGGTACCTTCTTTAACAACTGTGGTAAAACTACACCAAACTTCGCACGAATCACGTCGTGCGGAGAGGGCGCTAGAAAGCAGGGCACGGTTTGCGCATACAATGATTCAAACACGATTAACAAAGAATTAAACGTAATACATTTTTTAATTTTAGAATAACAAAATTTTAAAAAAGAACTTAAGTGGTCCAAGAGCAACATAAATAAACATTTTTTGAAATAATGAATTAGGACCATGTAACAATACGCGTCTTTCACTGATACGCGATAGATATACAACTCTTTCGACTTATTTTTTATGACGATTCCCAGCCTTGTGACGTTCAGGTTCTTGAAAGAACATTTTATTTACTCCCAGCGTGTGCCGTCACGTGTAGGCTAATAATGGCTTGTTTTGTAATTTAAATTTCTCTCTGCTCGAGCACTTTCAAATTTAGTCCCTTAACGTATTTTACCTTCAGTTACAACTAAATTTCACCTCCGATCTTATTATTTTTTGATTTTTCGTTATTACGTAAAATGAATATTATTAACGGTAATTTCATAACTACATTACTGCAAGAACTAGAAGCTTGAATAATAATTGTCCCGGACCAATAAAACGAATCATAACTAATTAATTTCTCAGTTACTCAATGCCGAGGTAATGCACGTGTGACGTGCGCATAAGTAAATAAAATGATTTTTTAACGATTATTATTATTGCGATCGTGTATGTGAATCTGCACACGTGTATTTGGTGAAGTAGTTTGTGTGAGTGGTGGGAAAGTTGCACAATCCGCCGCAGCTGGGATCACCTCACCAGTGTTCCCAAGTATGTGTGCCAAGTATACATACCGATGTACACATACCCCCCACACACACACATTCGCTACATAGTTTAAAAGTAATAGTATATGGTAACCAAGTGTGTTTACACGTTTATGATTAACTGTTGGGTGTACATTGTAGCACTTGCACAGTCAGCGAAGTGGTATACCCATACAGCCCACCAGCTTGTTTTCCCAACTGTTTTATTCTTTTCTTTCGATATCATGTATCACGGGTACCTACTTACTTGATTTCAGAAAGAATAATTATACGTTTTGTTAACCGAACTTGCGAAAAAATTGCGTTGTTTCAGTCACTTGGCTTCTTTTATTTCTTCTACGCCCCAGCTTTACTTGTTCGCGTAAAATAACGATTATCCCCTTTTTTCGGTTGCTCATCGTACAATATGATTAAAACTTTGTATTTTTGAAAACTATAATTGCCCTGTAATTTTGTTCACCTTACGTTTATACAGTTAGTATAAGTGTAGTTATTGATAAGCATTGTTAGTTTTATCAATTTTTTTCCACGAGAAAATAATTGCTTCGATTTTCACGTGACAACCCTTTCCCCCTGCCCGATGTAAGTATATGTCGACGCTTTACGCATCACCGATACATAATATAAAGAAAGCAGCGATTTCATAGCGATCGATGATCACAATCTACGTATTTTCGTCGTATAGCGTATCGATTTTCTTGGCTATTTCCTTGACAGGTTTACAATCGAGTCTGGCGAAAGCTATGCAGAAAGCGGGGGTTTCCTCAAGTCTTACTTTTCAAGCAAAACTGTGACATTCAATTTCTCATTTTCACGATACATGGTTATCACACAATACATTGGTATCCATGTTCCGATAGATAGAAGTACAAGGATAATAAAACATCAGTGCGTATATATATTTTGGTAATCTTTATGTCTTTTCCGTATAAAAAAATACATTACTCTTCTAAGTTGGTACAAAAAAAAAAAAAAAAAACGTAGGTACACAACAATCTAAATCGAGGCCCACGTCCTTGTTTTCTTGACTCGAGGACAGGCCCAGGCCTGTACGGACATTTGATATGACGGGGCCTCGAATCCTCCCATGGGTGCCGGTCACAGTTTTTTTTGCATTTTTTGAAAAATTTCGTGATCTATAAGTTACAAGGTCATGATACGTACAATAGTAACAATCATATCATTAGTGGGAATACGGTACAATTAGTAAGACGAGATGAAAAAAGATGCAGACGAGGCGACGCCTCATTCGTATTGCGGGGGAATGATGGGAAAGGGATCAATTGTGTATATCTATATATATATATATATAGATGTGTAACGATGCTGCTGCTCTGCAGAGCCGAGTAAGTACTGACGGACGCGAGTTAACGCGCCCGGGTTGAGCTGCTGTACTGTTGTTGCAGCAGAAGTATACCGTTATTGCTCTAGTGGTAGCCATAACTGTAGCCGTTGTCATGGGCGGGGGCGGAGGCGTGAGCGTAGCTCTCCTGGTGATGGACCACGGGAACGGGCACGTGCTTTTCTGCAATTAAATATAAAGAATATGTTGTTAATGGTCTTGTTTGTGAGATATAAAATTACTGCACACCAATGTGGATAAAAAAAAAAAAAAAACAATCAAGATTGTTAAAGATGGCATTTTACTAACCCACGGGGTAAGGTACTGGTTTTGGCACCGCAACGGGGTATGGTCGGTCAACGTAGACTTTGACCTACAAAAAAATGTAAAATTTAATCTAACTATCATTTATGCATTAATTTTTTTTTAGTAAAGAATAATTTTTTAAATGATACATTAAAATAACTTTCACAGTATTCAAAGTTAGTTATAGGCTTCTTACCGGAACGTGTACTTCACGTATTTGAGGGTACGGAACTGCATACGGCACTGGTACTTTTACAGGGACGGGGACCTAAAAAATAATTACAAGTCAATTGATTGTTTTGCCTCTTCGTAGACTGATAAAAAACATGTTTCAAGTCTTATAGTTAAAATATGTTTAAAAAACCAACTAGACCTATTTCCTAATGTGACCTAAAACATGTAAATCCAGATTGGTACTAAAAATTGGTACATTTTAAAAATACTTGTCAAAATAGGAGTTCGAAACCTTGTTTTAATCAATCAGCAGTGATTTTTCAATTCTTACCGGCTTCTCGACGGGATACGGATGTGGTTCAGGTACCTGTAAAAAAAAAAAATTTATCAAGATGAAATTTTTTTTCTAAATTTTCTTCCAAGGTGCATTTAAACTTACCTTGACTGCCACGTGTTTGATGGTTTCAACTGGATAGGGCTGAGGGACGAACACCTATTGTATAAAATATTTTTTTGGATATTAAATCATATAATTATATATTATGTAACAGTCGAAATTAAATTTCAAGATGCCACCTTTACAACAACATTTATGTGTCCTGGGAATAAGTCACGAAACATTTAAAGCAATACGGACTTGGGTCAATTTTTTAAATGTTTGAATTGGCAAGACCAAACCCTTATTTTTAGGCTATAAAATGCAATTGAAAAGGTGGAAATCTGAATTTTAGATGTTATGTAATGATTGCATAACATTATTGAATAATAATCAAGTTTTTACCTTCACGGGCCTGTCGACGGGTACAGGTACGTGCACTGGATAAGGGACCTAAATTTAAAAAAATACGAAATACAGTATTTCAAGTTGTATTAATATAACATACTGGAAAAATTACATATAAAAACATAAAAAAATAACAGTACAAGTAAAATATATTTTTCATTGAAATTTTTGGAACTGAAGAATATAAATTCGTTTTTTAAATTATTTTATACGTTGAATAAAAAATAATTGTTTTATCGGTATATTGTAGTATGCTGATAATTTTTTTTTTTTTTTTCTTTTCTTGTACAGAGTTAAAATCGAGTTAGCTATTTGTTTAGCAATTTCACGAAAAACGTAGTAATAAAACATTTTGTAACAAAATATACGACTTCAGAGAATTTTTACAAGTTATTTATGATGGTAAAAACTTTAGTAAAAACATTGAATTATTATAATTACTTAAAATTTTCCAAAAAAATTTTATTTTCTTTAACAAAAAAATTCGTTCATGATAAATTTACATACAATTCAGAAATTTGGTTAAAATTTTTTTTTCATGTTAATAGATAGTTTAGAAACTTGATAAAAATTATACTGGTGATATTTAAAAAATAAATTTTTTTAACCACATATAAATTAATAAGTTAATAAAATGATACTTAATTACAAGATTTTTATTTTAAATAATTATTTTCGTTTTCTTACCTTTTTCTCGACTGGGTAGGGTTGAGGTACATGGACGGGAACTTTAACGTAAACTTTGTACGGAACCTAAAATAAATATACAATTCAAATGGATATTTTACTTTTACAAAATAATTCTACTGCGTAAAGTTGAACTATTTTATGAACTTTGAAAAAATAAAAAAATAAAGTGAATAATGCTGTTGAGCCAGTAGGCAAAGTTATGTAACTTTTATTATTTCAGTAAAATTATCGTATAACGACTTTGCTTAATTTTCTACTCTACTTATAGCTTTACGCCGAAAAAAAAGAAATAAACGTACCGGGACCTCCTTGGTTACTGGTACTGGCACATGTACTGGCACCTAAAAACAGATAGAAATTTGCATTTTTGTGACGCTAACGTGTAATTAAATAAATTTCTTGTAACTTGATCAGGTATGACCTTGGCGAATGTTTCGAAGCAAGGCAACTCCATACTTCGACCTTACCGATAAATACTAATTCACAGCAATTGAATAGAGTATCGTTATATCAATACGAATCTTAACAGTCATATTACAAACAAAAATAATCAAAAATGGCATCAAGTCATAAAAAAAAAAAAACTGGATGTAAGATATTCCCTCCCATAATACATCGAATGTATCAAACATAAATAATATGAAAAATGGTGATGGTGATCTCATTCCTTTTCTAGTATATTTATGAGTAATTTATTACTATTCATGTCGCGGTTGCTGTATATCAATTCATCGAAAAGAGTATTATTATTTGCAACCAGTCAACAGTGGGCAAAATCTCAAAACTCGATAATTTTCAAAACAGTAAAGTTGATTTCATTGAACTAGATAAGTAGGAAACAGAAACAGAAATCTGCCACGAAACATTAATGTCGTTAGCGAGCGCGAGCGGTGCATCCAGCCGTACAAACCTTGACCGGGTAGGGCACGCGTTTCTCCACCGGGTAAGGAACGTGTTTCTCAACCGGATACGGGACGTACTGGTTCTTGAAAACCGTGACCACCTTCTCGCTGTGGGTGGCGGCCACGGGTCCCTCGGCGTGCTGCTCGTAGCCGTGGTCAACCTCGTACGCCGGGCCGGGGGCACCGATGTCGTACCCACCGTCGTAGGCGTAGCCGTACCCCAGGCCGGCGAGCCCCCGCTTCTCTTGCTTCTTGGCTCCCAGGTTCGAGCTCTTGTCCACCACCACCTCGGCCCAGGTCGCGGACACGACGAGGCCGATCAGGGCCACTTGCATCTAGAACAGTCGACGAGATCGGTACGGTTAGATGGGCCTGAATTTACGAAAACTCGCGAAGTCGCCTTTGATGAAACGATAACAAAAGGAAGGAAAAAGAGAGAGAGAGAAAAAAACGCGTTAATCATCGCACTGACGAGCTGTGAACGAGCGCACTGTTGCAAATGAAAGCACACTGGGAAATGGGGGGGGACTAAGTTTTCACTGTCGCGCGCACTAGCAAGCGAAATCGCAGCCAAGTATAGCTGTTGCCGTTGTGTACTAAAAAGGAAAAAAAAAAAAAAAAAAGAAAAAAAGAAAAAAAAGAAATAGTTGGTCTCGGCGTGTTACCAGATTTCTCATTTTGGTAGACGCGACGATACGGGTGCGTCCAGAAGTGAACTGGATGCCGATTGCCGGGTCTCGGGGGCCTTTTATACACCCGGCACTTTCGCCTTCGCGGCCCGTCCGCGGGTCCCCCTCGAGGTGCACGACGCGCGACCAGTCCCTACCCCCGTCGGAGCCACCACTCCCCCGAGCGCGGCGCTCGTTTTCGATTTCCTTTTCCCTCCTCCTCCTCCTCCTCCTCCTCCCTTTTCGCTTTCGATCGAGGTGTATACACCTCTCGCTTTCGTTCCTCCGCCTCTCCTTCGACTCCCTTTCCTCTATTTACGCGCTCTCTCGCTCCGCACCGGCCTATTATGATCAAGCTCCAGGTATATAATACGTATGTGGCGTACATGGACTGCGCCAAACTCCTACGCCTCGGACGTTACATCGCCATCGATCATTCACGCCGTGCACGTCAAGTGTACCTGGGCACACATATAAGCCCCCGTGGCCCAGTTTCGCGCGGCTCTAATTTATTCGCGCGCCGGCACGTCTTCCTAATTATATGGACTCGCGACAAGTGCGCCGTACACATACGTTTCCCACTTTGTATAGGCCTGTGCTTTGGCTGACAATGGCTGTACACATATATATTGTATATGATACATGTATATCCCGGCGGTCGCGAAAATTATACTTTTCGCGCCTGTATCGCGGATTGAATTCACCTTTGAATTTGGCATTGCATCAGCTCCCTCCGAAGATTTTCCGATTTCGCGCCAAAGCGTACATTATACAGGTTGTACAACCAGAAGCTCCCAGAGCTAGTTATTACCTCGTTGCAGCGAGTAAGCGCGCGCTTCGGGTATTGGGAAATCAATTCGATTTGAATGACTTCGAATGATTTTTTTTTTTTTTTCTTCTACCCTCGTGCACGCATAACTCTTTTTTTTGCCTCTCGCTTTTTTTTTTCTTCCCAGCTTAGGATCTGCTCTTACCGTAAGAGCCGACGCAATATCGCGCGTTACACGCATTTAAAGTTACGTTATCAAAATACGCTCGATGTAACTTTGTATATGTATTTCATATGGCAACGACAGCGGTTGCTCCGCGTCGAATGGGGAGATCGGATAGGCACGAGGATACATAAATTAATAACTCTGTGCGCAATTACGCGCGGTTTCCAATGACATTATTCGCTTCTAATGGCACTTGCGACAACATTTTCAAAGCCAATATACCGAATGACGGCCAGTTAAATTCCAAAACTCAATGAAGTTGATAATTAATTTTGACGTTTGATAAATAAATGCTCGAGGTAAAAGTGTATCACCTTGACTAATGAGGAAACCATCGTATAGAATATATGTTACCCCACGCAAATGAAAATTGATTCTTGGAAAATGTACGAAAAGTGTAAATTGTAAGGGTATAATTAAAACCTAGCCGAGGCTCCCCATCACGGAGTGACGAGGAAGAAGAGCAAGGGAGGTTATTTGGCTCTGTTCCCACTCGTGAAAGTGCTCCCTTTGGCGTATGTTTTTATGCACTTTTCGGCTCATTTCGCGAAACTGGCAAACTGTGCGCGGGACGCTACGCTCGGGCCAAGCACGTATATATACTTATACCTACCAAAGTTGCGGCCGACTTTTCACATTTCCCCCGCATCGGGCCATTGCTTTTAATTCAAAAGCGTAAAATCGACCGCCACTTGGAAACAGCGTTAATATACATGTTTCATTATACGCGCCTTTTTTCGAATTTGGTATTCAAAGGCCAATCGTGTGCAAGTTGCGGACTGATTGAAATAAACGAGCACGAGCCAACGGAAGGAGGTGAATTATGAAGGGCCGTCGAGAGGTAATTTTTTTCCCCATCTAATGGAGACGAATTAATTAAAACGATTGTATGCGGTGGGTACGGCCGCTCCGACCTTCAAATAATCAAACTGCTGGTTTTGAAAAGAAAAGGGAAGGAAAAAAAGTAATGGGTGTAATACAACCGAGGGGATCGAAGATGCAATTAAGTTCATCGAGTGAAGAGATGAATTAACGAAAGCGAGCGCACCGAGGGAGATATAATATATGTATATAATATACACGCGTTGCGTGTGGCGAGCGATTAAAAGCCGATTCGGGACTCGGGGGTCCTCGCTTGTATAACCGCGATGCACTTACGGTACAACGTGTAAACATCCGCGTGCACTAATGACGCGACCCGCATTTCTCATCCCGTTGGAGGGGCCCCTCGTTTGTACAGATTTTACCTTCATTCGGCTTACCTCCCTCGTCAAGTACAAAGAGTGTGGTTGACCATACCTATTGTTTTTTCCTTGCAGGAACTTTGTCTCCGGAGTGCTGCAGTTCCAGCTGTACCGAGCGTTGTGCCGGGCAGCGGGACAGCGTTCGTTCGACGATCCTCGCAAGCCGCTGCACAGGTGTGACTTTTACAGGAGCCCCGAGGCGGGTGCCATATTGGGGTGAGTTTTGCATGTTTGCTTTTTTTTTTCCCAACAATTTTCTCACGTCGGGGAGCCTTTCGAGAGTGTTGGTATTGCACGAACACGGTAATACGTATGATTATCTCGTCGAAGCAGCGAGCCACGGCAATCATTCAACGAGACCAACGGTCTTCGTTGTGGGTACAACGCGTGTTTCGCGTTTCTCTCGATAATAATCGTCCAACAAGCGTGCGCTGTATTTAACGAGGGTTTAAGACTTTTCGCACTTTTATTTCAAGTGGACTCTTACTTCTCCTGCTACGTGAGGTCAACTAGCGACCGCTGAAGAAAAAGATTTGTAACTATGAACTATAACAACGACTTTGAAGCTTTTAAAAATTTCATGTAGCGTTGCGTGTGGTGTTTTTCATTAGGTCTCCACTCGAAATGGATACTTCTTGCCGTGACGATTATTGTCTCGTTACTTTTGACTTGGTCGAATGAACATCTTTATAATATTTCAGTTCGAGCATGGATCGCTGGAGAAAATATTGAAAAAATAAAACAGTAAGATATTTCCTGACGAAAATATAGATACCGGCCACACGTGACGGCAAAAATAATTTTCCATCACAGCCAAAAGACGATTACGTACTCTACCTATATGAGCATTAGAGTTTAGCCAAAACGTATAAGCACCACAGCAGAGCGGCTCATCGCGTATATATGCGTCTCCTGCCCAGGGTGATAGAGCCTTAAAGCCTCCACGTGCTTCCGGTCAGCTACAAACACGAACTGACCGACATAGACAGGACGCGCTTAGTGCACAGGGATCCCCCTACGCACCTAAGTATATACGTGGCTCTCGGAGGCGTTGGCCAATCCACATGTTGTCCCATGCGTTGCACAACCCGAGCTCCTCGTCCCGGAGACTTTTTTTTTTTTTTTTTTCACGCGCCGTGTTGTGCGCAAGGATATATTATGTATCCTTCCGAGCAGGCGTCGGAGAGGGCAGTAATCGGAGCCAATGGGACATACTTACTCCTGATGGGCGCAGCCTTAAAACCATATTAAGTATACGTGGGTTACGCAACGATCGTCCTCTGGATTTGCCGATCGTATAAACGTCCGCGCGCAAAAACCCCATAGTTACGAGGGTTGTATGGTCGACTCTTGGCCGGTAAAAAGAAAAAAAAGTCGGGCAAAAAAAATATAAAACTCGGCTGCTTATCCACATAATATTATTATACGCGGTGGACGTAACGTATAGTTGCGAAATTTTTGTTTATCTCCTTAATGAGTTTAGTGTTGTTTTTTCGGGAGTCTCTTTCTCTCGGCTTTCCTGGCGAAGGACGATACGACGCACGCACCGGTGGGGCTCCGTTTGATAACACGCGCGAGAGCAAAAACGGCATTTCTCAATCGCACGCGGTTAGCTGCTTCGGAATATCATCAACGCCGGTTAAGAGCGTGAATTGCACAAGCCCCGTTTGCACGCATCGAGGGAAATAAAGTGGAATAAGGGGGATCGTATTACCGATCACTCGGCGACACGTTGCAAAGTAGGTATACGTATACGGACAGGCAGACACACAGGCACTCGGTTAAACGTGAACAATTGCAACCATGTATACCTACAATATAATTATTATATACGTAGGGTCCATTGTGATATCTCTCGAGTTGACTGTCCGGAGCGGCTATCGGAAGTTCGAAATTGACGTATTAGAGCGCGGGGGGGTTGTACACAATATGCGACGACTCTCTTGCAGGCATATCCTTTATGCTCTCGACGCCTGTATCTCCTCCTCCCCTTGTATATATATATATATATACGTGCATCGCCGTGATCTCTGTGTCCGGTCTCTCATTGTTGCTCCGCGTCGCATTCTCACAATTATTACGCGCCTCGGCGCTCAATCATATGAAAATTTATACACCCGAGCGAGCACTCGTGCGCATGTACATTATATGTTTGTATACCAGCGTTGCGGCATCCCGTGTATTTATTCATCAGTGATTTTGTGGGCTTATCTATGATTTTATTGCATCAGGAGTAGTAAGTAATTTTCTTCGCACGACAAATTTTATTTATTTATTTTTTTGTTTTTTTTCTTACTCTCTCGAGAAATCTGAAATTCCTTCCGTTGTCTTTGCGAGTCTATTATTACGATGTACGCGCGTCCGTGTCCGCGTCAACCAGCCACCCGTCTTACGTTACGACAAGACCATTGCACAAGTGTGTACATTCATTACATTGTACTTGGACACGCGTGCGCCGCGATTATGGTATATATATATATATAATATACGTTGTCCGCGTTTTCATACTCCGTGCAAACGTGAAAAATCCAAGGCCCACCGCTTCAGGCAGAATAATATTGTTTTTTTTGGGATGCCGATAATTCATTACAATATACCCTCTTATCAGCGAGCGTGTACATAAATATGTATATATATATATATGCGTCCGCCACTAAACAAAAAAAAACGTCCAGCCGGCATTTGTGATAATTTATGCGTCTCCGCCAACAGATCCTTATCCGCGAATTAAGACCCGATAGGTATACAAGTGACGACTATACGTATAGAGTATTATATATATACACGTTCTCGATCGCGTCAGCTATACGTGCACGACTAACGATTTTCTTCTATACGGTAACTACAGGCAATACCAGCGTTTATTGTTAGCTTGTGTGAAGTATATCGATGGGAAAAGTATAATGCAGAGTAGTATAGCATATCAGGTGTGAGGAGACATTGCGCAAGGCGGGCGGAACATATACGCGTTGGCAGCAGCAGTGCCGGGGACACCCGTCGGTATCGGGCGGCCCATCATCGAAAGCACCTTTGGAATACAAGCCAAGCGCGTCCCGCTGCACTTATAGGTATACTTATTGTATCTCGGCGCTCGATCTCGTGCACCGCGAGTTTCCCGTGACGTAAGTCGCGCCTACTGTGTCATATACATATATACCTATACATACACCCGCTCGATTGGGCACTTTTCCACGGCATTGTAACTTTGACGGATGTCTTCTCGCTATTTCCGGAACTATACGCGGAAACAGCCGAGATTTTAATTTATTTATCAAAAGCACGAGCATTCGAGTCGATCGAACTTGCAAAGGTTTCGAAACAGTTTTTTATGAACCGAGAGAACAAGGAGGAAAAAAAAACAGGCGTCACAACGGATGATGTACCATTCGACCGAGGCGAGTGTATATCCGTGATTGAGGCTGGTGTTCAATATTTATGAACGACTATACGCGCCCGTAAATCGCACGCGAGTAAAGGTACTTGGGCGAATACACACGATTACGGATTGAGAGCGTATAACGTCTTAATCGGCGCGTTTATAACGAGTCAAGCGCGAAATGCTTCGAGTATACCTATACTTGCCTCGCGTTTTTGAAATTAATGGATCGTACAGTTCGCGCGTCCTTCACCATTATAAGTAGGTATATATTTAACGTTGATTTAGCTGAGTAAAAAAATTTATTATTAATATGCATGTGGAAATGCAGTTCTCGTGAGTTGCGTACGCTATATAGACGGGTTCGGTTAAAACCGCAACTCATCGATGTTCGATTATTCAACGATTTCTCCATTCAATGTATACACCCAAGGCAGAGGAGGAGCATCGAGTGTCGGAGGATCGTTTGCAAGTGCAGGATCGAGAGGGTATAACCAAAACACCGGCCAACAGGTCTCGGAGCGCAATCTCGCTCCGTTGGGGCATACATTTCGTTCGTGGGTCCGTCGGTTATGTACATATTGTAAAATCTCTCGAAACAACAACAACAACAACAACAGCGTGCAACATAAATCTCCGCGTACACGCGAAGGGCGCACCTGGTACATTACCCATACTCCAAAGGAGGAAAGGACCGGAGATAGCGTCTCTCTTGTATAAGTGATACCGGAGCCCGTGTGCCCATATATATATACATGCGAGGATAAACGGCCTTACGTCACGACGGAGTACAACGAAAAGCTGCTCTGGCCCGATTTTTATCATCCCGGCAATATGCTAATGCCACGTTTGGGTTGCCCGCGAAAAGCCAAAATCATCGAGTGTACACTTTATTGGTGTGGTCGCCAGAGCTCGGCACGCGGGAAACTCTATATCCGTCTATTTGCTCCCATTCGCTCCAACGAGTTTTGAACTATGGGTTCTTTTTTTTTTTCTGGGTCCGGGGTGTTATGTCACGCACACCTCTCGAGGCGTAACACTATTATATTCCTCGTGTAAATGTGCATCTCTGGGTCCGTTATTACGTATATATATATATATATATATATAGGGACGCGATAACGACTCGTGCGGCCGCAAAAACTTTTGTTTGGATTGATATTTTTGTTTTTTTCTCTCACTGGCGTCCTTCTTGTACTTTCTTTTGCGGATATTATACACACACCTGCAGCACAATATGCGGCGTGTGTGCATCGTACGTATATACATATATTATACTCTTGTCGGTGGCGCCCGACGGCTTTTACTTTTCATTTTGTTCTCGAGTTTTTTAATATCCCGTACGTCGGGCGATTTCGTTTCAATGTACAGCGTATCACTGTATATACCGGCGCAAAATGACGCATTGCGCAACGCGCGAGCGCGAGAGATCGGTGACTAATTAAATTTTCTTACGTAAAAAAACGAGCGTGTACGTACGGTATGCGCGTGATGGGCACGTGTGTCGTTCTCAGTGGGTGGGTGATGCACTGCACACGTAAATGTAGGGGGAAAAAAAAAAACACGGCGCATCGGATGACTTGACTAATTTCCCCCCCTTTCGAGAGGAAGATCCGCCTGGAGGGTGTACCGGTCCGATCTTTTTTTTTTTTTTTCTCCTCCTCTCTTAAACGAGGCCGCGTGGGAAGTCTCTTCTTTTCGCGAGTTTCAATTTAAAAATCGAGCTACCGCTGCTCCCCGGTGAAATTATACTCAACTCTCTCGCGGAACATCCTTCCTCCGGTTTGGGTAATTTGTACTTGTCGGCGGGCCGATCGCGCCACGGATAAATTATTGCGTTAATCACGTGTATTATGGTCATAATGTATATGTATTTACAAGCATCAGAGTTGGGATCTTGTGCATACATATATACAATACACGTGTATATGCATGATTATGAAAATGAACGCGATGGTGCACAGGTGCATCGACGATGGGAAAGACGCGCCGTGCAATCGCGGATACGAAAAGCGCTGGGAAATCCCCGGCTATGGTTTCCCAATGCGGGCTTCATCTGCGACTTATTCGATCGGTGGGTGGTGTTACTATACCTTTTTGCATGCGATGATGATGGATTTATGGATGGACAAGCTCTTGGAGTGTTGCGCTCCTCGATATTGAATATCAGTCGTCCGTGCTATTTTCGTTCTCGACTGGTCGTATGTAAGGCGATGTCATGCAAGTTATTATTTCGAAATTGGAAAATCTAGAAAAATATGGCATACGTATATGTATATGTAGCTCGTTGAGGGAATCATTGTGTAACGTTACGTAACATTGGGGCAACGATAATACCATGGATTGCATTTACAGTATAACATTAACAGAGGAATTCCACTTTCGTGTGGCACATTGTTAGTATACAACGAGGATTAACTTTTGTTTTTGTTTTTTTTTTCGCAAAACTTTTACATACTCTTGGGCAGTGCGTAAATAAAAATTCAGTCAACAAAATTCCGTGAATGTGCCCAGGTATTTTCACTTTGCTTTTAAACACTCAATGAGTAATAAATCAAGTTTCGTGTTTATGCACTACTTTGTCCAGGCTCGTTTAGGTATTTTGCTGTGCGCCTATTGCACGAGATGCTAATTATAAAGTATAGGTACAATATTTGACGTTTTGAAAACAGCAATAGCCAATGTAGATAGGGGAAACTCTCTTTCCCGCGTCCCTTGGTTGAGACATTGAGAGTGAAATGTGCTTCGGTGCAATAATGCAAGCTGCTAGTGATTTTTCAAGGCACCGTTACCACAGTGGTGTGGCTTATGGGTATACCTACAACCACCATTAGGAATATAATAGGTAAATATAGACGCTTATAAAGAGAGCGCTTATACTTGCCCGTCCGTCTATTATATGCCTTTTGATGTAACCTTGCGAGGTATCGACACCGAGGGAGCGCTAGCCTTGGCCAGATTACGATACAAATGTCGCTGCTGCGCGTGAAATTATGGGTGTTTTGCAAGGGAAAGAGCAAAAGGATACACACACGCCTATGTGCGAACACAATATATATCTACACGGAGACTTTTCTTTCTTTTTTTTTTTTTTTTTTTTTTTTTTTTTTTTCGAACGCAAAGGAAAATTATCTACTTACTTGGCGCGCGTGGCGTTCATTAACAACCAAAGCAAGGACGATACGAACAGGTGCCGCGGCGATCCTTTTGCCCAAATGTTATTTATTTCATCCCAAAATAAGTAAGTATGCGGTTCACCTTTGCGCAATAACGCGTCCGGATTCATCAACCGAACTTAATACATATATGCATAGCCTATGCAACGCACGGCTTGCCATATAGTGCCGTTACCAGTTTTGCAACAACGCGACAATAATATGACCAGCCCCGGCTGTCAGACAAACCGAGAGTCGTTCGGAAAGGCGTGTAATTAATCGCTCCCGCGACTCGCTAGCGTATACCTATACGCGTACGGCTGTCGCAGATCTTCAAGAGTGAAATCTGCGCTCGAGTATACATGGCAATATATATATATATATATATATATATATATATATATATATATATATATATATATATATATATATATATATANCACGCATATGCATATACGTACGAATCTTGTTATGGTACCTGTACTTACAATACACGCGCTTTGATCAATCGAGCATTAGAGGGTGCGATTTCGCGTGCCATTTTAATTACAGTTGCTATAGGATAACCGTAATTTCATACTGGCTGCTTCGAGAGGACGATTTCCGTTTCCACGTCCTTGCTATATTTACGCCTGTATTTGCGTACAGTGTACCCATACTTTGGTTTGCGACGTAGACCCGCGCATTGGCGCTAATCGTAGTGTTACTTCATTTCTTTTTACCCTCGAGAAAACTTTTTTTTTTTTTTCTTCCATGTCAAGTTTATTCGACAGTAAGGACGTTTCACTCGCAATCGCGTGCATCAGAAGGGAACGAGTGCCTTATATCGTACAGCGTATCGATTATGCTTTAGCTGGTCCAACCCAATGTTACTTAATCACTGATTGTTTATAGGATATCAAACAGACAATAATTACTCGTAGCGTGGACTGTTTTTTTTTTTTTGTTTTTTTTTTTCCCAGAGAGTCCGATATACAAATGGTCCTCCGTACAAATAATGACACAGCAAATGAATTACCTGTATGCACGAACACACGCAGCTAAACGATGGCGGTATGTGAACGCGTGGTCGTAACACACGCGCGCTTACGCAAGAAATGAAAATGCCGAAACAACAATTTATTGTCCTGGCCGAGATTAGGAGAGCGGGGAAAATCGTCGAGTTGCTCCTGCATGGTGTATAACAGACGCACGCACGCGCATGGGCCGTGCTGTGAAACACATAGATATCGTTGGGACAGGTGAGGACAAAAGGGTGGCGGGGAAGGGGGGGATAAAAAATTACCTCGCGCAACGCCCAGCGCCTATACTTGTATGACATAGTAAAAGTGAAAACAGCCCTGCCCGAGCCACCGGCGCAATTAGCGAGCGATGAAGCTGAGTACAGCCGAGCTTTCGGAGGATACATTACTTTATCCTCGAAAATCATGTGTATAGGCCAACCCCCCAACCCTCTGTGTTGTAAGTACGCACGTATGCACGCACTAGTCCAGTATAAATAATCGCGGCTCTTTGGATAATCGTATATATACGCCGGCACGCTCGAGTAGAGGCGCAGTGATAAAGCTGCAGATAATGTATACTATTGCACCATATGTGTGCTATTACACACTTATAGCTGGATATATTTGTGGAGAGCGCGAGGACAGCCCGGGCGGGCGTGTAGACCGGAAATTACGAGCCTCTGATAAATCATGCGCATAAATATATATATTTATACGTATTAATGCGTGTGCGCGCGATCGGCTAGTGGGTAAGTATTACTTTTTACCGAGATTTACACCCTAATAGGCTGATCGATCAGGTCGAGACATTTATGGATTTATTTTTTTTTTTTTTTTTTTTTTTTTTTTTTGGGCGGAGATCGACGCGCGTCCGGTTCTCACGCGCTTGCCGAACGTTTTGCACCATTGCCGATTTTATATACATAAATATATACTACGTAGCTGGACCCCTTGTTACGAGAACAAACTTTGAAGTAAGTTACAGCTCGTGCAGCCGATTCGTAGGTATAATACCGGTCCCCTGCAGTAGGTACAAGTACACACATGCGTCCCATACCCAACGGCACTGCTCGGCTGCTGTGACCTCTTTCCACCGCAATCATTGTTTCTCTCTCGGTGCATCTCTGGTTCTTCTTGTTAACGAAACGTCCGAAAATAACTCGCAGCGATAAGCCCGACGTGCATACAGCTGCCGCTGATACTGTTTCGCCGTTGGGGTGATTTATGATTTTACTGAATCGCGCGTTAAAAAAAAAAAAAAAAAAAAAAACAAAGCCTAATCGAGCCTACACTGAGCACACTTTTACATCCAATAGCTGTGTATGAGTATATATAAGTAGGTATACATAGGCCTAGGTGTATCAGATCGGAAGCTAATAGTGCTACAAAAATTAGCTCTCGACCCAGTCGTTCGATAAGAATACGGGTGTAAATCCACGTAACCTCGAGCCCCATTCATATTTATATTTTATCGGATAGCTGAAATCTTACGTGTACGCGTGCACCTATACATTATTTGCCATCTATTAGCGGAAAGCAAACTCGTTATAATATCACGTTCTCGGGGAAATTCGGTAATCTTTTGGTACATCTACATCCTTCTCGGCCATATATATCTCGCCCACTCGAGATATATGTTTGCTCGGTATTGTATACGTGTGTATACGTGTAAGTACACCTAACTATATAGAGTTTTTAAATGAGAAAAATGGCAAAATGCACCTGTTTACGCTGAGCAATTTCTCTCCTATACTCCTTTATGATACGTATTATATGGCGTGACAAACATACGAATGGATACGCGTGCTGGTGGATGTACATCAACATCACCGGTGCCGCTATAACGAATGAGATAAAAGGTATGTATACACAATGACGCACAGCAAAAAGATGCGCGAAATGGATGATGACGATGGGTCGAACAAAGTTTTATTGTTGCGCAACTTTACGTCTTTTTCTCACAGACCGGTTTTTCCTACACCTTTCCTTCGTCCCTCTCTGTCTCTGCTCCGGTGAGAAAGCTTTCCCCTATACTAGGAACATCTGTTTGCTTCTCACGTCTATGCACGCGGCGGATCAAAAGTAACATAATGCACATAAGATTCCTTCGACTTTGTTGGCCGAGATAAGCGTTTTTCATCCAGTTTGCTTCTCCGTCTTGATGAGGCCCTACCAGTACTTTTGTGGAAAATGTAAAACCAGGGGATTTTGTCACATTGTTTTTGTTTTTTCAGGAAGCTTATGGAAAGGGGAGCCTCGAGGCCCTGGCAAGACGTCCTGATCGAGGCGACGGGCGAGGCGCGATTGAACGCATCCGCCCTCCGGGAATACTTCCGGCCCCTCGAGGACTGGCTACGGGCGGAAAACTTCCGGACAAACGAACTCGTGGGCTGGACTTACGGTGAGCATACCTACATGTTTGTATCTTCGCGCGACGAGCAATATTCGACTCTTTTTTTTTTTTTTTTTTTTCCCCTCTGATGGCCATTAAAGCTCTTAAGATATTCGACGTGCATGCACTTACGCGCGGTTGCGTGACGGAGGAGCGCGATTATCGCCCACGTTTCGAATGTAAAAAAGGCGGTCCGGTGTATACTTAAGTAGGGCTTTTCCACGCTGGCGCGGTCGCGCGTCGAGTGCGAAAAATGCGAGTGGTTCCTCCGTAATTGCCCGGCGCGCGATTCAATTGACGGCTCGACTCTGTCTTGCGGGTGCCCAACCGGCATGTCCGAGATTCGTGCGCGGCGAGTCGCTTTCTTTTTTATTATTATATTTCGGGAGAAAAAAACGGGTTGGCTCGTGTTTTTCGGGTTGCCGGAGCGCGGAATTGTGAATTTCGACATTCAAATGGATGATGATTGTGATGGGCTATGTTTCGTCACAATTTTTTTTTTTTTTTAGTTTTGATGAAAAAACCCGTGACTCGCTTCTATGATTGAATTTAAGCCTCGTTAAGGATGTATTGTTATTTAAAAGCTACGAGAAGGGTGATAACAAACCGTCAAAGAAATAATATCTTGCATCACGCTGTACCTTTTATTGCCCGCAGCACTGACCAGTAGATAACGAAATACGGGGAAGAGGTGAAAGGCCACAAAATGGATTGTGAGTCGTGAAAATAACAGCTAGGAAGAAGGTTTTTTTATTTGCCGCACACCGTTGTATTTTCAAGAATTTACCCTCTTATTACGTACTCTTTCAAACTGGAACAATGCGGCGTACAATTTGCACTCTTTCAGCCAGTAACTCTGTACTTTCTGGTACAGTGTAAGACTTACGATACTGAGTAATAGACTAATTGGCGGGATTTCCACATATTTAAATCACAAGACAACTACACTTGATACATGTGAAAAAAAAAAAAAAAAAAAAAAAATGTAACAATCGATCGCGCGTTGTTCAAAGAAAACATTCGCTTGGCAATGTTGCGTGCCCTCAGAAATGTCAGTTTGGAGATTCCGTCGGAGATTTCCTGGCATTATACAGTCACCGTAACACACCGTACACATATATATCTTGGGGATCGCCCCAGGCTATAACCCTAGACCAGAGACAGCCTCTAGCTACACCTATATGTACACACAGGAGCACCCACGGGAGCTACTGCAGCGCCTTTCTAATTATCGGACAGGCTGATCCGCGAACGATCGGCATCGGGGGCTGCTGCAGAACGTAAAACGAAATCGTCGCTTATTTTGCCTATGCCTCGGTGTATACAAGGTATATTTATATGCATACCTCCCAAGTGTTGCGCGCGATCACCGAATTCTCGGCGTGACATAATCTCGAGCTGTATATATATATATATATACATGCGGCACAATAGCGCGGCACAGCGCAGCGACAGAAAAACGAACGCGGATGGGAACTCGGCCGATTTTCTCAAGGGCCGCGAATCTTAATGATACAGTCGTTGTCTGCCGCGAGCTTCTTGCGCAATACGCCTGTTATACGTACATGTATCCCGTGCATCATAGCTTGTCCCTCTCGTTATCTAATTAAGTGCCAGCAAGCGAGAGATCCCGTAATATGAGACCCCAGCTTTTTATTTCTTTTTTGCTCGGCCAACTGTACATACATATATATATATATGCCACTGCTCCGAGACTAATCTATTTATTACGATGTGCACGAGTATCGCGGATGCTCCGGTACCGCGCAAATGTATATATATGTACTCCATTTGTTGGAGTCCTGCCAGAGACGCCTTCGCGCACGATCGATATAATAATGAGTTTTTATATATATATATATACACGTTGCACTACTGTTTTCACCTATACTCTTTCTCTCCTTTTTTGCCTCTGCAACCGAGTTGCCATATAGTATCACTCAAGTAGATCGCTCTCGTAAGCTGCTTCTTCTATTATGTAGTATATTTACGCTCTCGCTCCTCTGTATACACATTTATTAAAGCGATTTCAATGAATACAAATGACATCCATTTCAACCGAGGGCATGAAACGAGTGTTTAATTTTTTCGAGTGGAAGGTGGTATAGCGATTTGACGGGGAATGGGCTCTTTGCGATCGGGACACAATATTGCACTATACGGCGAGGCACGTGTGCCTATTTACTTATGCGCGGAAAATTATTGGAAATTTCACGGAGAACGGGTGCACGAGAGTAACCTAATCGCGTGTTAAATGTATTATGAGAAATAACAGGGGTGTGCATGTATAATGTAGCGCGGCCATAATATATAGGTATACAAATGTCACGAAAAGTGCATTGTAACGCGTGAGAAACGTTAGGTAGGTGTAGGTACGTTGCATCATGTTCACCGCGCAGCAAATAATGGCACTTCTCGTGGGACTAAAAGTAAGTATATTAAGTGCACCCAAGTGCTTTAGCGATGTGGCGTGTGTCTAAGCTTGGATTTTGCGAATAACCGTGGGTTAATGAATTTTTGATGGTTACCGATTTGAATGATTTAAAAGTGTAGATGACTACCGCAAAAAACCAGAGATTCGCTGGCTAAAAAATTACAAAGACTATGTGTCGTCATCGTGTAATACGATAATCATGACCTGTATCTGCATGTGCAGAAAACGCGATCGCTTGGATAGAGGCATTAGAGGTTTTCTTTTTTTTTTTCTTTTTTTTTTTTTTCAACACTTGACACCTAAAAAAAAAAAAAAAATTCGAGGTTGACCGCCATATCTTTCGATCTCTTTCAGACGGCGACTACTGCAAGCTGAGCATCGAGACGGCGGGTCTCGAGGTCTACGGCAACGGCTACTACTTCAACAGCGCAGCACCGGCGTACCTGGGAGCGACGCTCGTCACGACGATCATCTTGGCCTCGACCCTGTCCTTCCTCTGAGCCATACTTGTATAAACAACCCCTGCAGGATATCACACTTTTAATACATAATATGCGTGCCTAGTTACTCGTCGAGTACTGCGCCAATTTCCAAACTGATTAATGCAAGTTTGCCCCGCGCGAACCAAATATAGGATGTGCGAGTGTGTGTGTGTGTAATTTTTGTGATGAGAATGAAAGCTGTGGTCAAGGATTGGGGGTAATAAGTTTGATTCGATCGTCAACCGATCTTTGCCGATTTTTGCCGATCTGGAAACAGTAGGGGCCTCCGAAATTCGTACCTTCGTCGCGATTCCACCTCCCAATGATCACGTAATACCGGGATAACCATGTCGTGGCGCGACAGATGTTTGGGATTGGAACGCGGAACCAAAGCGGAGGAGGCGACGTGAATTCGTCCTGGCTCTAATAATCACAGGATCGAGGGGTTCCCCCGTTTAGATTTTTAGATCGCGTGTTCTTTCGTGCAGTGGCCGAGGAAACAACGCTGCAATGCCCCGTTCTTTAAACCACAATGGCCCAAAGCATTGGCCGAATTTCCATATAATGGATCGATAATGTGCCGGCACGAGCGCGCGCGCGTGAGTTTTGAGCGACACGGTAATCGGAGCCCTCGATTTTTCGGAACGCGAGGCAAGGCAAGGAGGGGAGAAAAAACTTTCTTCCGAAATCATTGGCGTACATATACATGCACACAAATGTATTATTCGGGCTTTCGGCGATCGAGCCATTGAAAAACCAAATGGTCCGATTCCAGGCTCGTCGTATGCATGTACAAGAAAAGGTGGGCAGCTCGGGCACAATGGGTCCGAAAACTCGTATACATACGTAAGCTTGAGCAAGCGGGTATCAAGTCGTCGGTGCTCTCTTGTGCAATGTGTCCGTGCAAAGGACGGAAGGCCGACAATGCCAGCCCAGAAAACAATGAGACGCCGGTCCGTGTCGCGTGTGTGCTCTCTGTGTTACGTCGATTGGTGTACGTGCACCAGAGCGACTTTCACCGATTTGCGAGCGCGAAAAGTCGAGCCGGCGTGTACCAATGTAACCGCGCAAGCATAATAGGTACATATACATCTGGAACTCTACTTTGCTACCCCTGGCTCTACTGCCAAGGACACTCTGTCGCGCTTGTACGTCCGCGAGGGGATTTATCGCTTTTTATTGCAACGACTCCTTTTGATCCCGGAGACAATGAGACAAGCCACCGCGTGCGACGGTCATAAATTTTTCTTGATCCCTGCACCCGCCAACCACTGCTATGTTTTGTCCCGATTTCTGACTTTTGGTTGAAAAAAAAACAACACGATTACAATCGACGCGCCTCGAAACAATCGTCCCCGTCGCCCCGACAATGACTCGTGGAAGCGCTGATGCGGGGAATAAGGTGGCTTTTTAACATTTTAATCCAACAGAGTGTGCGCCTGTACAACAGATTTCGCGTACCAACGTGGATGTACACGTATATTTATGTATGACATATGAGTGAACTTGCTTGTACCGCGACTTCGCGTCTTCGGGAATCCGTTCGTTTTGCCGAGACAGCTGTACACGTCTTGTGTAGGTACGCGTAAAACACATAAATATCATGTATACCGGCTCGACTGTCTCGTATAAGTATACTGTATTCTCGGCGTTGATTTTCAATATGTGCTGGCGTACACGATACCCCACGACGAGAGGTTTGTTGCACTTGTGTACATATAACGGATAATAGTAATAATAATAATAATATATACACTTTGTACACCCCTCGAATGTACGCGAGTATGCGCTTTTGTACACTTATATACTTACTTGCTTGCGGAACTCGTGTACAGGAAATGTACCGATTAAGCCACATAATCATAATTATATACTTACCTACGTCCAAATGGTGTGTACTTGTGATTGTCTGCCGAGTTGAAACTTTCTTTTACACCCGTACCTTTTATTTCAAAAATTATTTTTGTTCTTCTACCGTTTAGCGTCTCAAGTATTATACGTAACATGTATTTATGTGCCCAAGCTTCGAGTGTACAATGCGTTAGTGTGTGTGTGAGAGAAAAACACTGGCATTTGTGTAATTCGTACAAAAGATGAAATGGTTGGATGAAAGAAAAAAAAAATATATATATATTAAAGCAAATAAAACTGTGTTTAGGAGTAAGAAGATAAAATAATAATATTGTAAATACAAAAGCGTTGTTTGTTCGTGCAATACGTTATTTTATGCTATTATATATAAAATAATTATTATTACATCATACTTTGACAAATAGAAATATTGATATTTGTATACGTATTGTTGTATCGACCACATCGTTCAAATGTTTGTTTGCAAATGTAATGAATAAATTATCTTAGACGATAAAATTGCCCTCTCATTTCCTTACGAGGTACTTTTAGCCAATTTCAAATATTACGAATCTTACGACGAAAGGAAAATCTGCCATCTGATCCGATTTCCCAAGTATGTAGGTAGGTATGCACGTGTACAAGTATTATACTTGAATGGGGCTGCAAAGAGAGAGTTGCAAAGGGACATTTTTTACTTATCCGCTTAAACTCTGTACTGTACAACCACGTTTATAAATTTGCACGGCGGAAGCAGTGTGTGCAACCGACACATGTGCACCGGAAAAAAAAAAAAAAAAAAAAAAAGACGGTTGTACGTGTGCACACGCGTGACGGGTAAGTAGTATCCGGTGGCTTTGGAATCTCAAACAGTCGAAGCATCGGCATACCTATATAATATACCCTCTATCTGCAGATACGACTGGACCATCAGGAGCCACGTATATATATATACACATATCAGAGAGAAGGGATTACCCGGACCCAATCATTCTATTACGCTGCTGCAAGTACTGTCTTTGCAGGGCACCACACGGTATATAACGCGCGCACAGAGTGCGACGACTCACACCGGCAACCTATTATCATGGATGTACGATTGCGGTGCAAATGGCGATAACGAGCTACCACTCACGTATATTTTCCCTCTCGCTACGCGGTACAAGTATTTACACTTATTACACGTTGTGCAGTTTGTGCGGTCTCTCGTGGAGTCGGGACCTAAATACTTGCGTACGGGGCGACAACACCTGAAGAGGTACAGTTTGCCACTCTGCACGCGGCGAATAAGGGCTCGGACGATTGTCACCCATCAACCGGTTACGTTTTGTTATTTTATCATTGTCGTGCATAGTTTATTCTTCGGATGATCGTATACCGGTATGAAGTCTCAAAGGAAAACTCGCAGCTTTTGCGCAAGTGCAATATTTTGCGATCGTTGCTTTTCGCGAAAACTCGTACATTCGCAACATTTCACTGTCACTCGTTTTTTTTTTACATTGAGGAAAAGTACGACTGACCCACCATGTTTATTTCAACTTTTGTTCTATGTGAATAACAACAGTTGGATAAAAAGGCGATATGTCGCATGTCCACCGGGCTGCGGTCAATATACTCGGGATCAAAATGCACAAGTCTGATCTTTAATTACGTGCCAAGGTCAGAGTCGCACACACTCCACATGCGGACAAAGGGGGTGAAGAGACCCCCTTTAATCGACGCCTTCCCACCACTTAATTGAGGACGCTGTCGCACGCATACGCGTGAACGCTCCCTCTGTTAACTTTAACGTCAATTTGTGGGCAGCATCTGCAGGAGATGTAGCATTTGCCAAGTTTAATCCTTTGAAGCAAAAGAAAAAAATTACCTATTTGTTTCAGAATGTAGCGTATCGTGCAGGTACGAGTCTATATGCTCAAAGTGTCAAAAGCCAATATCTTGGCTGCGCACTCGGCAGTCTCTCTCTCTCTCTCTCTCTGATCCTCTCGAGGGCCATTGAAGTTACTCGTCTATAGGTACATTATATACGAGGCTCTTCAGCCCAGACTCTTTTGTGCAGCCGTTCGGTGCTATACGCCGTCCCGTCTTCTATGTATTACGATGGTGTACTATTGTACGCACCCACACATCCAGCCAAGCACGTCTTCGTGTCTCGGTGCAAAATTTCCTAAAGCTGCGAGAGTGCTTTTAAAGAGCCGCGGACATGGTTAATATTAAAATGTACCGTTGAAATGAAAAATCAGCGGAATGAAAATTGGGGAGGGAAAATTTATTGGTGGCTTGAGCGTGTGTGTGTGTGTGTGTGTTTTTTTTTTTTCTCAAACGAGGTTGGATCGGAGGAAAAGAGGGAAAAAATGAAAATTGTACCCTGTACAGGCATATGTGACATTCAAACATCGGGTGAGCATTGACATTCCCCTGTATACAGTTATTATGGGTGCACGCACAACAATGTGTGCCTTTATACCGCCGTAAAAGTACGTATATAAATAACTTTGTGCCAACAATGCAGAAAACTTTTGTTCCTTTCATCGAAGGCACGCACACGCTTGTGTGCTCACGTGGTAGGTATATGGGTATATGTATAAATATACGTGTGGAGCATAAGAGCGCATAAAACAGATTGGTCACGTACACACATGGGGTGAAAGTTTTTCCGCTGTGGCGCGATGATGCATGCCAAATGTCACCTATTATGGCACCTCTGGCTCGATGCGCTTTTTTTTTTTTTCTGCCTTCGTGCACTTTGGCGCAGTAAGTATATATTTTCATTGTAAAAAAACAAAAAAGAGTCTTGATTATAAATTTTCGTGGAACGAACGAGCATAACATCCACACAAAAGCGATGACAGCATATACGCATAGCGTTTGAAATTACAGCCCAAGCGCGTCGTATCGCGGTGGTCATCAACAACTCGGACGGGACATTCGATCGGGGGAGTATAGGTCTTGCATACGTATGTTTATCGAGAGCCAGCCACGAAGATATACACAAAAAATGTATAATGTATCCTTTGCCTGGCACCGCCAAATCGCGGTCCCTCCCATACAGTCGGGGCGACAACGACAGCTCGTAGTGGAGGACCCACGCAGGGGTTCATTGTGCCGGCACGATCGTTACACATAATATATAGGCTCCCTCTCGAGTGGCCGTGCGTGCCTCGAGTGCCCCGACTATATATTACAATACCGGGTGTACGCTGCCGACGACACATCTACTCAACGGCACCGCACACGAGCCCACTGAGAGAAGTAAGCAAGTACGTTTTAGTTATAGGTAGCGCGTCCGTCCGAGTCGAGCGCATCGGTTCTGCAGCCGCGCAACGGTATCTTTCACCCTCCCGATAAGTGTGCGTCCACCCTTTTTCGATAAAAGCAATACCTAATATCTCCGGTCCCGATGAGCACCATCGCGTAGGCTTACTTTGTGCGCCGTGCGCAGTGTACCATACACCTCGAGAGGTGTCTTAAGGATGCGTGTGCCCGTCAATTGGAGCACGAAAGGGTCAAGGCCGCTTTGACGACGATTCGGTGAGTCGATGTGCTTATACCCTACACCTGTACATTGAATGATACGCGTGTCGCAGTTGGCTTGCCGATCGCGTACTACTGGCCGCGGTACAAATTCGATCGAGTTACGCAAAAGTACATGGAAGATCGGCAGCTACGTATTATAAGAGAGGGATTCGGCTCGCTCGAGGCTAAAGTGCCGTGCTTATATCGCTCGGGATTTATTCAACTTTTTGCGCCCGAATCTGTCTTCTTTTCGAATCGTGTGTTGTGAAAGTTGTTTCTCGATCTACCCCCCTCCCCCGCGCGTCATTCGGACGACTTACCGGGTGTCCTTAAACTCGCCGATCCACCGGTTAATTCCGGAGTCCCCATCGGTGATCCATGAAACGGCGTGAAATTGCTGCAGTTGGGGGGTGGGGGGGGGGACAGAAAAAGGGGGAACTCGACTGCGATCGCGCAATCGGAGCGGACACAATGGATCGGAACGGATGGGCGGAAGAGCGATCGAGTCGGAACAGCAGCTCTCGGCCGTCGTAAAATCCGAGCCGCGTGATTCCCGGCAATTAGCCTTAGAGGTGGGTAACACTCCAATATGTATAGGCGTGAGTAAGGAGTGCACACGCGAGCGTTTCGATCGGCCTACTCTTGTAACACGTGTTCGGACTATCGTGACGTAATTTGCCATTATATTATATACGTACATACATCGCGATGGTATACACTGCAGTGCTGGAGTGGCCAACCACCTCTCGTTGAGACGTCATAATTTGATAAACACCACCCGTGCACGTACGTCCGACTCTCTCTCTCTCCTATCATTTTCTACCTTTTTTTTACCGATTGACGTACCGGCGTTATCGATTTTTCGCTCGAGTTTCACTTTAAATGTAACGCGATAACGGTGCGTCCAAGCGATGCTAAAAGAATGTCTCCGACGATGCTGCAGATATATAAGTATATGTATATGCCTTTACATCCGCTCTAGGGTGCATGCACACGCGCGCGTTTATGGTATTTATGGGCATGTGTGCATATGGAGAACACTGAGCGTTAAATTCGCTTAATACGCTTGTGCGGTCAACGCGCTTAATTCTCACAGATGCTCGCGCAGGCGTACACATAATACATATATACATCACATACCATCTCACAGCAGCCAAACGAAATTGTACTTGTGTCTGACCATCCAATTTTGTATACGCGTATTGTAATTTGCGGTATTTCAGCGACTGAATGTTTCGCCTCTGTTCTTTCCGTTTTTGGCTTCGATTGCGATCGTTTGCTCGGATGTGTGCATATATGTAGCCTTAATCAGTTGGAAAAGCCGAGAATATCGGAATTGCGATACATATATTTTTCCCCCCACGCGAAAACATAATGCCGCAACGACTGCGCCGGCCGGAACAAAAAAAAATTTAGTCGTATGGTGTACCCGATACGTATTATATACTAGTTGGAGCTACGCACGCAGGTGTATAATAGGACGCGAATAATGTTCTCACCGCGCGTAGAATTCCATCATATTAGAGCGACTGATTTATCGCATTGTTTTACTTTGCGAAATCGAATAGTTGTTGTTTGCACTCTTTGTACAATATACACCCCGCGTGCACGTTCACTTTGTCGCTGCTGTTGCGCTTGATCTTTGTTTTTGGTTTTTTTTTTTTTTTTTTTTTTTTTTTCATCCTTCGAGGACACTCCGAAAAAGACATGAAAACAGCGCGTGCAAATTCTAATGAAAAATTCCAATAATAATATACAAAGATGGAAACTTTGTTGTGCAACTTTCAGTATCCCGCAGCGTATCGGGCATTGTCCCGTTTCTCCAATTGCCACTTGAGACAAAACGACGGGATGACGCTCAAGCTGACTCTGACGGCCACGGCACCGGTGCATTCGCAGACGCGCCAAATCTCACGCTAATGGTTCTCACGCAAGGCGTTTAACAGGTGACACACAATTTCTTTTTTTTTTTTTTTTTCAATTGTTTGAACCGGTGGTGAAAAATTTGAAGGCCATTTCGTTGTTGCAGAATGAAGAGACGCTGGACCAGCCAAACAGGGATGCATACGCTCGTGGGAGCCACTTTTCCAGCTCTCGTGGTCGCGTTGACGATCGCGGCCTGCCTTCCGACGCTGTCGCTGGGTATCACCGGCGAGCACGTGTGCCACCGCGTCGACAAGTAAGCTACAGTACCTCCCTTTAAAATAAAGTTTACTCGACACTTGGTTGCGCTAATAGCCATAGATAGACCTACACAGCATATAGCTATACCGTGTAAGCCAATTGTATATGAGTTTGTCTCCTCGCAGCTACACGGTGACGTCGAGGGAAAGATACACGGAGCCTGTGGAAATTCTCACCCTCGTGTGGTGCCTGCAAATCCCACCGCGTTGTCCCCAGACGCGCGTTGAGTTGCGGACGCGCTGGAGAATGAAGGTATCTGTCCATGTATCTGTATATACCGTAATCACAACACTACTTGTAGCTCCCACCAAATTGACACTCGCAAGTGATACTGCGATAACTCGAAAATTAGCCACATCAACAAGTTGATTCGGCTTGGGTTTAATATACATCCGTCCGTCTCCCTATATATTATGTTGATTCTGATGTAGACAAAAAAAGTGTATTCATGCGTTACGACACAACGTTTTATCGTACGTTGGACGGATAAGAGATCGGTATCAGTTTTTGCTCTGCATTAATTACCTATTATGCAAAATGTGTTTTGTACTTATAATTTATACGTAATCGAGTTCGTAAAACTACTCAGTTTGAGCGTATGCGTACGCGTTGTACAGACATGCCGATAGTTATTTCAATCTTTCGAATGACTTTCCATTCATTGCGATCGCGAAAATTCATGCCACTTTATCAGCCTCGTGCGAATGAAAAGGATTTGCGCAATCTGTTTTTTTTCTTTTTTTTTTTTCATTCTTTTAAAATCAATTAAACGAAGCACAAAATCCAACTTTATTAACTAATGAATAAATATTGGGGTTTTTTTTTTTTTAATTCATATGGTATACCTATATAAGTAAAGTATAAATGACAATAAATAACTTGTTCGACATTGAATGAAAAAAAAATTTTTTTAAACAAAGAACAAAAAAAAAGGTATTCGTTGGTGGTTCTTGTGACATCTTTGTGCTACCAGTTAGGTACGAATAAAAGTGGAATTTGGGCCGCGTTCCCCATAAGGAGACACTTTTGCTCGATCGCTCATTACAAAGGATTCCTTCGACGGTGCAAATGTTACCTCTGCTCCACGTGAGAATATCTTTGGTGGCGCGAATCGCGTAACGCGAGGATTTTCGCAACGCAGATGTATATCGTGCTTCTGTGAGCAAGTACGGACAAAGGGACAATCAGATTATATGCGCGCCGGCCCGATACAGAATTGAATTTCGCAGCTCGCGGGAGTTGCATGGGACTCGCCATGCGTACCGATATATTATGCATCGCGAAATTTCTTGGACCGCGATGATCTCGCGTCGGTGATTTTAGCTGAATTTTTGAACCATACGTTATACCTACATGTGTTTACAATACGCAAAAGCTTACGTAATGCAGTTCCTTAAAAAAAAAAAAAAAATAATAATAATAATAATAAACAGCAGGTAAATGAAAACTGAAGAGTAGCGTGCAAAGATAACACGAAGCAACTTTCATCAACTCCACGCTAACAATAGTCTTGGAGTGTGTATAACGAACGAGGAAACCGCGAAACTCGAGCGTAGGTGCGTATATATTATATACCTGTACGCCGAACGGCCGACAACAGCTGATCTACCGATGCGATACGCGCGAGTCCAACGTGACAAAACTACAAACTCGATCTCTTTTCAATAGCTCCTCGCTCGGAATTCCTTGCCCATACTAATACACCTATACGCGTATGGGTCCGCGTGTATCGTCGGTCCACTGGTTGTTGCGTTGATAACGCAATCGACCCATTCAAAAACGTACTTCCAGATTCCACGTGCTTATTTATCGAGTATATACCGAACAATTTACCTGCCAATTGAAATTACTTGAGGATTCAAGGCCCCATCCGGAGTGGGCGTAAAAAATCGTATTTCAACGGTGTGCTTTTTGTTGTTTGTCCATCTGACCTTGCGCCCTTTTCGCACTATGTTTACAGACTGAGGTAAAGTACAAAAGCGTGCCGGTCTGCTGCGAAGGTTACGTGATGCAGGAGCTCATAGGGAACGGAAGCGGTAACGCCAAATGCGTGCCCTACTGCAAAAAATGCCGGAGCGGGGTTTGCACGGCTACGAACGAGTGCACCTGCGATCCGGGTTTTCAGGGCCAGGACTGCGCCTACGGTGAGTCGTGCCTTTTTTTTTTTTTTTTACCTGGTAGTGAACAAAAACACACCCCCCGAGCCCTTGTCGGCTCTCCTTTTACCCTTTCCCTTAATGACCATTTTTGGCACACCAACCGAGAGCGTGTAGGACGCGAATTTCAGGGCCTCCGATCACTGTACTTGTGCCTATATGTGGTGGAAAAAAAAAAGTAAGGATACGAGTGTATAATATAAAGTATAATAATGGTAATTATTCGCGGACAGAGTGCCCGCAGGGCAGTTGGGGCCAGAACTGCGAGAACGAGTGCAGCTGCGTGCACGAGGTCACCTGCAACCCCGTGAACGGCAAGTGCGAGTGTCCCGCGGGCTGGACGGGTCCTAGGTAATAGATACGCGCGATGACGTATTACACACACCCTCGAAACGGTATACGTATTGGGAATAACATGTAACTTGGTTGGGCGCAGGTGCGAGAGCAAGTGCCCCGAGGGCCAGTGGGGCGCGGGCTGCAACTCGGTGTGCCTGTGCGGGGGCCCGGAGGCGCGCTGCCACCACGAGAGCGGCGAGTGCATCGAGCCCGACGACGCCGGCAACTCCGGAGCTCCCACCGACGTGTTCGAGGCCTCCGGGAATCTACTCCCGGTCGACTACATCGACGTCATCGACTTTGACAAGGAGGCCCTACTGCCCAGAGTGACGGAGCGTAAGCCACCCCTTTTACATGATATTTCGCGCTCATTGCGTATCTTATATGTATACCTGTATATGTGTGGGTAGCGTACTTCTTTATTCTATTGGGGTGGGTATTGTAATAGTATCGAGATTTACCATAACGTCTCGTATTGCAGATGATTCAGGTACCCCACGAGTGGACGAGGCAGTGCTACCGAGAGGCGAACAGAGAGGACCAGGGGATGGGTTACGGAGCACGGTGGGCTTGTCTCTGGGGGTGGTCGAAGGGCAGCCCGTCACCCAGAGGCCAACGACGCCACTGCGGAGGTCGACCAAGCAACCCGGCATCACCACGACCGATGGAAATCAATTTTCGCGGAAGCAACCAACCGACGCTGGCGCAGCGGCCAAGAAGAGCATCGGCTTCGACTTTGACGAGGCTCGATCCAACTTTCGCGTCATCGTCTCGCCCAAGACGGAGTACGTCAAGAATACTCGTGGAGGTCCGTTTATTTTTCTTTTTTTTTTTCTCTAGTAGCTCCTCTACTATAGCTTTATTAGCTTCTCCTTATTGTTTATTAAATTTTTATTTTCCTTTTAACGGTTCGAGGTGCAAAGGAAAGAATTTAGTCTGTGAAAAAATGCGTGTATCGTCGAGTAAAAGTTCCGTCGAGTTTAATATTCGTGAAACGATGGAGCAACAGCTCGGATTTTCCGAGGGTGATTATCAGAAAGGGAGGGATTTTTCTCGCGAGCAACCAAGAGAACAATACACGCGAGTGAGAGAGCTCCGTTATCGCGCCGGGGGTACCCGCGATTGCTCTATCGCCAGACAACCTTGACAGATAAGACGGATACCCATAATATTATACGCTCTTTCCCCCTCCCTCTCGATCTTTTTGCTATTGTGTGTGTGTATGACTTGGCGGTGGCACTGTGCATGTACACTATACGCAAAGCTATGTTAGTCCGCGTGATTAATCTAAACTGGGCGAGCGTGCAAACTACCGTGATATATATATGCCCTCGCCGGATGCATTTTACTCTTACGCGGTGACGTATACTTTCATTTTTTTTTTTTTTTTCCTCTTTAAATGAGGGCGCGGCTGGCCGCGTAAGCGACTTGGTCCTCGACTCGCTCGCCTTTTTTTTCACGGTCTTGATCCATTTACGTACTCGCGAGTCTCCCGTTCGCTTTCGATTCCGTGCAGCGCAATTGCGGATAAACGATTTTTTCTCCCTCCCTCTCTCCGTTATTCATTGGCTCTTTGTAGCGCAGTGTTTTTCAAATCAGAAACAACCAGCGCGCCACATAAATAATGTAGCTTTGAGATCATTTAGCTTTTTTTTTCTCTCTCTCTCTCTCCTTGCGACATTTCACCGCAAAACAAAAAAATCTGCCTTAAACTCTACACGTGTAAATGTTATGTAAAAAAAAGATGAGCCCAACGGTATACCAATCGACGTGGCTGCGATGATAGTGGTCGGTGCGTTGGTCTCGCTGGGCCTGACGTCCGTGGCGGCGCTCATGATCTTTCACATACGCTCGCGGCTGCTCAAGGCCGCGCTATCCATGTACAACCAGGAGAGGGCTGTCGAGAGGCAGTACGCCGCGTCGGCCGAGAAGGACATCGATACCAAAGGCTTGGACGTCACCATCGGCACTCTACCTCGTACGTTTTCTCTTTTTTTTTTTTTCCACCGGGAATTTTCGTAACAAAAGTACAAGTTGTTGATCATGTGTTATCATCACGCGTATGGTAATTAAATGGGCTCCCTTTCAGGTACAATGACGCGGATCAATCCGATGTACGATGCGGGCTCGGGGTCCGACTCGGCGGGTTTGGCGTTCGACGAGAGGCCGGTCGAGTACGCCAACGGGACCGTGACCATCGGCATCCGGTTGTCCAGCAACCTGAGAGGTAAGGCTGAAACAAGGAAAGAAGAGGGAGAGGGTGGAATAAGTATAATATTGCGTTTGCAGATTTACTGGAGAGCCACTACGACAAGCCGGCACCGTGCTCCCACAGGCACGGCGGCCCAGGCAGCAGCGTCGGGGCAACGGCGCTGGGCCCCGACGGCGACAGCGGTGTCGAGCACGTGTACGCGGAGATTCCCCACTCGGCGCCCTACTACTTCGGCAAGTACACGTAATCCAACGGCTTCGTCATCCTCCCTGCAAACACGATCATTATACCCCAGCTTGTGTTTTCCCCGGGGGTAACAAGTTACATTATATATACCCTCGCTGTCTGCACTCGAGAGATAAGAAATGTTTATGTGTGTATATAACTCTGGATCGCCAACGGCAGAGGAGAGGAAAAAAAAAAAAAAAACAATAGTGCGAGTAACGCGATGAGCGTTATCATCCGTATATGAATAGCTTGACTCGTTCCGAGAGCCGCAAAGTTCTTGCAACTTTTGCTCTCTCTCTCTCTATGTATAATGCTCGCACGATTGCCTCGTTATACATATTTATACTTACGTGTCGATCGCCCATCCAAGCCCCTCCTGTACATGCAGTGTCCATAGTGTGCCTGTATAATATCAGTTGTGTGTGGCTACGTGCGATCGTGAGAAACTTTTGGATAAATTATAAGCCTTTTTCCTTCACTCCGCGCGACTCGATCGCAATTGGTGAACCACATATGTATACAGCTGAAAGGAGAGCAGTGGCTTGCAACAAACACAACTTTAACCGTATATATACGTACCTCCGTGGTACGTGCATTTATGAATTGAAAAGCATTATAATATATTAAAAAGAAGAAGAAAAAATGGTATATCTTATGATAAATATGACGTTGTGCCCGCTGTAGTATGATAATAATAATAATACTGTTGGTGATGTTGACGAAATTGGAGCCGAGTGTTGTGCAGCCCTCGCTCCTTACGTCTCCATGAAACAGCGCTGTGTGTATAGCTATAGCTAGAGCTTGTTACGTGTGCCATTAACAATTTACCTTCTTCTCATTATCCTATTTAACGTGTATTTTTATTGCAAAGGATAATAGTACGAGGCCCCTGTCTTTTGGCTCATGTCTCCTTTTGTGTGTACGAGTGTGTAATTGTATGTTTAGGTTCAACGGCAGTCAAAGGATTTTAAACCCAACACGAAAACGTGGTTGTTTGTATTTGTTATCCTATTTATTATTAATAATTTATCATGACAAAAAACATTATTTCCTACTGTTGTAAGCGCGACATTGCCGTTTTTTTAATTTTATATACCTATACATCATATTGTGTTTAGATACATATATACTGTTTTCATTTGAAAATATGTAAAAAAAAAAAAAAAAAAAATCTTTTCAATACCCATACTTTGCATTTTGTGATGTGAAAAAACAGTACGTTTTTGGCAAAATAGATTGAGCATAATTATAACATTGGTGTATCGTAAATGTCCTTTATCTGTAAAAAAAAAAAGTAAATAATGTAATCTCTCACGATGTAGGCGTAATAACTATATGTTTTATACATAAATAGAATTATGTGATTGTATGGCATTTATATGTAATGAGTATAAAAAGTATTATTAAGTTTAATATTATAACGTATATGATACCTATTGCAAGATTATTCAAAAAGTATTATACAATAGGTGTACTGCGTAGTAATTTGTGTAGAGAAAAAAAAAAAAAAAAAAAACAAAGGCAAAATTATGTGTCGAAAGAGATTGTGCGTTGAATAAAAACATCTCAAAAAAGTAATATGAAAAGTACTCGTTTGTCATTTATTTTTAACGCAGTTACGAGTAGATGCACATCACGTAGTCAATAAAAATGGCAGATTGCATAGGTACTCCACAGTTTCATCATCAAACTAATACTTGGTACCCAACCCGAGCAACCCTATACCTCGACTGAGCTAAATCGCACGCCTTAACCAATTGATCTACGGCTGCTCCTCTAAATTTCAACTATTTATCAGCCACTTTGTGCATTTCGGGTTCCACGGTCGACGCGAAATCCAATCACGTCAGTTTTCCAGCAAATGGCACAGGAGAGTTACGTAATTTGATTTAAATATTTCAACGACGAACCGTATTTTTCATTCTGTTTCATTTTTACGATTCAAACGTGTTCGGATCACATTGGAGTCAACAAGCTTTTCCAAACAATTTGTGATTTTCGTTGGAGGCGTCGATGCACGTGACATACATTACGAAAAGGGTACCAGCCTATATGAAACATTTCAGTTACAAAGACCAGGTGTCTGAAAAAGAAGAAAAAAAACCGTGTCAGACTCCCGACATGTAAAGTGTATGTACAGTATACCTATACAACCTATCTTTTATTGGCGGTACAAAAAAAAAACAGACGTTTACTGCTGTGACGGCTTTACCTGGACCCCCGATATTGGCAAGTGTGACACCCACACTATACACAAGCCCGATTGTCAAGGAACAGCGTGGTGTATACCAAGTGATCCAGTAATCCTTTTGAGCTATATTTTATCTTTATACCTGTTGTCGATTCTTCATACCAGACCACATAACTTACACACGATTGAACATACGCTTTACAATACGCGAACAAAATGTAAGTACAAAAAGTAAATCTCCAGTGTACAACAATGACGTTCCTCTTGCTATTGTTGTTATTATTATCATTGTTATTGTTGTTGATGATGACAAAGTGTATCATGATAATTAATGACGAAAGAGCAAAGTCTGCGTGAAACAGGCAGATAGAAGCAAGCGCATCCTGCTGATAAGTAGGTAGAGAGATATATATATATACATACATATACCTCCCCCAGGGACGATAAGCCGCTCTTGTGCGTATACTCTCGGATGGGTGCTATCCTCGGATCCCCCCGTATAGTCAATAAATAATATGTGCTGTTCAGTTCGCTTGCGGCCTTTTGCGAAGAAACATGGAAGTTAAGACGTTCGTTTTGGTCGTTGTGATCGTAGGTCTATGCGAGAGCTGCTCGGCAAAGCACACGATTACCGATTTCGCTATCCCGCGTAATTGCTCGGAATTGTACAGGTGCGTATGCCATTATGCGTGACACGATTCTTCATTTGTATATATATATATACCTGCACATTGTATGTACCCCACGCCAGCGTGGAAAACCCGAGGTACGTGCCGTACGAGGAGAGATACTGGAAAATCAACTGGTTGGGCATCGGGAAATGGAAAACACGCACAAACTACAGATTGGAGGTAAGCGCTATGATAACGTTATTACAGGCTCGACATGTATATTAAAACGTTATCTGTTCAACGTGGACAACGACCAAAACTGGGCGTCAGAAGCACATCAGTTACCAATCGCGGGCAACCTGCTGTCCGGGATACGCGAATTTCAGCGCGAGCCAGTGCATCCCCGTCTGTACCAAGAGTTGCGGTCCCAACGGGGTCTGCTCCCAACCGGAGCTCTGCAAATGCGACGACGGATATTGGCTCAATCTCGACGAGTGCGAGCCCAAATGCGAGCCCGGCTGCGGACCCCACGGCTTTTGCAGCACCCCCGGCCAGTGCAGCTGCGTCAAGGGTTACCGTCGCAAGGATCACGCCTGCGAGCCCATCTGCGCTGAGGCCTGCATCAACGCTGTCAGTAAGCTCATCTACAGGCTCCCCCTTGGTTTTTTTTTTTTCCTTTTTTTTTTCAGCATGTGCAATTATAACTCTTCCATACATGTTCCCTTACCTTTACAATATAAGCGTCCAAAGTAGGAAAAAGTGTAGCCAGCACTATACTGTTGTTGTTGTTGTTATCAATGTGCTAACTCCTTCCCCCTAGGAGTGCATCTCCCCGGACACGTGCTCCTGCTTGGATGGATACGTGCCACTGGAGGGCAAACAGAGCCACGCGTGTAGTCCTTACTGCAGCACCGGCTGCGCGAACGGCAGCTGCCATGAACCCGAGGTGTGTCTATGCGACGACGGCTACAGGCTCGTGGACAACCGTACCAAATGCAAGCCGATCTGCAGCCAGGACTGCGGGATGGGGGTTTGTGCTCGTCGTTATAATAACATATATATATGTATATTAACCCCCAAAGTGTATGGTGGACCTAATAGTGTTGGTGGACGCGTAGAAGTGCACGGCTCCGGAGACGTGTAGCTGCCTCGAAGGTTTCGTGAAGAGGAACGCGACGGTGGCCGGCTCGGGCTGCATCGTCGCCTGCGGCTGCGAGAACGGCTGGTGCAACGAGACGAGCGCGGCGTGCGACACGTGCAAGGTGAACTTGTACATGAGACATGTCAAGCATCGCGATGTATATATATATATTTGAAAATAATCTGTGTCTCGATTGGGTTTTCAGGAGGGCTACGAGCTGCTTTGGGTAAACGACTCGAGCGCGTGTCAGCCGTACTGCGAGGGTGGCTGTAGCAACGGCAGGTGCGTCGGGCCCCAGTGGTGCGAGTGCGACGACGATTACCTGCCCGAAAACGACACTATGGGCAATCCCCGGTGCACCAGGACTTGCGGCGGCGAGTGCACCCATGGCACCTGCGACCCGGAAAACAACACTTGCGCCTGCCTGCACGGCTGGGTGGGCAAGTACTGCGACCGGCCCGACGCCGCGCTTTGCTTGATCGCCAACCGGTGAGTATACGTTTGTATCCGATAAACTCATCAATCATGGACAAAAATGGACATCAATCATGAACAATCCCCGGTAGGTCGAATTTTACGTGGTTGGAGGGAGGTTGGAACGGTTCGAGGTGCAGCGAGCGTTGTCAGCGAGAAGTCAACTCCACGGCAGATTGCACCGCTCAACCCAACGGGGATGTAGACGCGGCTCTCAACGCGACGTGCTTCATGAGCATCGGTAGGTACATGCATGTATTACACGAATTATTGTTTCCCCCCCCCCTTATATTTCCAGTAAAATGAAAACATATTTTTTCAGACTCTCCGTGCAACGTGCTCATCGTACAATCCGAGCGCTATGAGCCGCAAACGGACGTCGGGACGATCGTGACGTTGACTGTGCTCGTGGCCGTGTTGCTCTTAGCCTCCGTAGTCGCGTTGTTCGTCCGAAGGAGGACGAGGAGAACGAGGGGTATGAAATCCGTAGTTACGGTGAAATTCGATCGTATCAACGCAAAATGATGATAACCACGAGGGCGCGTGTCGTCTTCTTTTTTTTTTTTTTTTTTTTTTTGTATACGTGGCTACTGTTTCCCTCCGTCTTACGAGGCTCTCCGGGATGGTGTGTCGTGGCCTTTTTTTTTTTTTTTTTTTTTTTTTTTCACTTTCAAGAACTACTGAAATCCGTCCAGGGGAGGAAGAACCGGGAGGAGCTCGCCAACAGCGACACCATCAGCTTGTGAAATCCCATTGCTTGTTATACCTGCGCTTGTTGTACACGCGGATGAAAATCCACAATAAAACAAGAAAAACGTCAGCAATAATAAATTAGCCTATGTAATATGTAATATACACACTTGACAGAGCCGAGGTGTCGGATGGGGGGTGGGGGAGGTAGGTATTTGGCCCCGTTAACGACACCAGAGCAGTCATGAGCATCGGCCAAGCTGGAGAGAGAGAGAGAGAGAGCTGTAGGGGGTTGGTTCGCGCGCGCAGGGGGCACGGCGCACCGCACGGAGCGAGAGGTGGGAGGGTAGAGCTCCGGCAGCTCGCTGGGGGAAAATGTCGATGGGGCTAGACTCGCGCCTCGGGGGCGATGCGCACTGCACTGGCCTTCGACCCGAGATTCGCCTGCGTCCTCGTGCTGCTCGTCGTGTCCGTGCACCGAGTGAACTTGAGTTCCGTGGCCCTCCGGAGTACCCCGTCGCATTCCCGGGAACTGGCGAGGAGTCCCCCTCGTCCCGTCCTCGTCAGGAGTAGGCGCGCGCCCGGTGGCCTCTTGCGGAGGGATGCTGCCTCCCAACCGGGCCTCGAGCTCGAGGCTTACGACGAGCTGCCCGAGGACGACCTCGAGGAGGAGTACACCGAGATCAACGTCACCGCAGGTAAGTCCACGTGTGACCATGTGCACGGGCTACATATCCTCGCGGGGATCACTGTAACTGGCCGCCTCGGCGAGTGAACAAAAACAAAAACAAAGGTGCCATCAAGGGTGTCGTTCGAAACCTTTTTCGGGCGGAGGGATCAATGTGCCGTCCACGCCGATAGTTCTCGGTTCTTGTTTACCTGACCCCCCTCCTTTTCCATCCGCTCAGGGGCTCGAAAATAAATCCCCGAGAGCCCTGGCTTTCAACGATCGATCCCCATTGGTACACTTGGACGGCCGCGTTGTTTATCGCCCGCGATGCCCTCCCACGGAGAACGGCGCCAAGTGAATAGCGCACGAGCAGGCTCGGGAGCGGAGGTAGAAGAGCCGCATACAAAGGAGAAGGACTGATCGATAAGAAAAAACTTGACCGTGTTACGGAGCCTCTACGCTCGACTGGCTCTCCTCCTCCTCCTCCTCCTCTCGAAGTACAGTATACCGATACGGGTACGGCGTGGATAAAAGGGGGCATACATATATTGTCCCATCCCCCTCCCCTGGCCGGGGGAAACAATGGGCAGTGCGGGGTACCCGATGTGTTTAGAAGGAGGCCTCTCGCCTCTCTGTAGCCCTCAACATCCCCCGCGTGACGGCAAACATCCCTCCCCCTGTGCCATGCCGTTCCTCATCCTCGGAATCTTTTCTTTGTTTTTGTTCGCCTCCCTCCTCTTCCTCGAGCTGCCGTGTGGCTCTTGTAAATCTGATTGCGTATCGATCCGACCGAGAGAGCCCCCAGTGAGACACACACCACGTCGCGATCACCTCCAAAAATCGACCCCTACACCCCCTGCTGCCATTCTCGGAGTACAGACGCGAATGTATAGCGATTCGAACAAAATTCTTTATATGTATACTTGGCACTATGTTGTTATCTGTCCACGTGTCGACGTCGGGAGCACAGCCACTGTATTATAGCAAAAGAACCAACTCTCGGTCTCCCCTCTCCTTCAGCTGCTCCGCAGTTTGTACCCACATAATGTACAAAATCCCCTTTTCATCTTTGGAACGAAAGCTTCCCCTGCAAAGCGATAAAGTGAAAAAAAAAAATAGATACTACAACACACGTGTAGAGTCCTTTCTCTATATATGTATACAACTACTTGTACTGTATAGCTGTATGTGCATGATGGGTTTTTATTTCGTAAAAAGGTATAAGCATACATATGTATGCACGAGCGTTAACCTGGTAAGCGACGCCGGCCACCGAGTATTGATTTCCAAGTGCACGCGGGCCACCCCGTGTTTACGGGTGCGTGCGAAAATCCTGGTGCAGGGATGTGTGCGCCTGTATATTTATACACGCGTGTATACAGTCGCCCGTTTTGCGCCGAGCTTTGCAAAAGCTCGAGAATCGAAGAGAAAAGGGATATACAAGCGAAGGGGGGGGGGGAGGAGGGTTCAGGTTGAATGAACCAAGTGTGACACTGGTGCTTTTGTTCGGGTGAATGAACGTGGCTTATACACAGTAGGTATACATGTTTTTACCTTTATTGTCATCAAATCACTCGCGCGGTCTGGCACTACATAATAAGCCAACCACGTACACGATAATATGGTCACGATTGCTTTTTTGTCCCTCTCTTTATACATCCATCAAATACGTAACTATTAGGAAAATGTAATTTCATGCGATTTTATCCTTCGAGGATTAAAGTTAGTTAAATTTAGCTGGTGTTACGTAATACGGCAAAAAGCTTAAAATATAATCTAGCTACAATATATGTACGCCAACACTCATACGCGGAACGTCGATAGGGAGCGAGAGATGTGTATATATATTATATGTGTGTACACGCTTTGTGTTACGTCAAGTGTTTTACCCTCTCGCTAAGGATGGGTACTTGTATAATAGTGGCCCTATTACGATGTCGTATACGTGTACGCGTGACGTGTTTGTTTTGTACTCACGTTTGCACGATGAAACGTGCCATTTTGTACATAGTTGTCAAGCAAAACGTTTCTTTCATACGGGAAAGGCGCAGTAGAGCGTCGAAACGTCACTATATATTACAGCGTAGGTGTAACGAAATCCTGGGAATTGCAGAAAAATCGAAATACCTGGGCTCCCCCTGCGACGACGCGTGCAATCCGTCGCTGCAGCACGTCCACTGTCACCCCCAGTCAAAGATCTGCGAGTGCGAAAAACTGTACCCGGTGCAGCTGGGCCCGACCAGAGGATGTGCCAAACGTACGTGTACATCATACCACGTGATCATGAACCAAATATATATATGTATGAAAAAAAAACGCCTCGTTTGCAGCGAAAAAACTCGGGGAGCAGTGCCTGTACCAGGCGACCTGCCTCTACACGGATCTTCACTCGACTTGCACGCAAATCAAGCACAACGCCGTGTGCGAGTGCGAAACCGGATATCACCGATCTGCCTTCTCCAGGCACAAGAAGCAGTTTTGCGCGGCAGGTACATAAATATATATATATATAGTATAACCAATGCGTTTACTTTGTTGTATCTTATTCGTATACAAACTTGTACGTGGTGCCGCAGATCTGGTGCTGATATCCACGGACCTGCCCACCCTCATCACCGTCGCCTGTGGGATAGCGATATTCACGGGCCTCATCTGTTTCGTGCTGAAGCTCTTCAGCCAGGCGCGCTACACGAGGCCGCGGCACTACGCCAACGCCGGGCACCCGCCCCCGATGCTCTACTCCGCCGAAACGGGTGAGCAATTTGTTGTCGTACAAGTACATTGGCACTTTGGTCATTTTTTTTTTTTTTTTTTTTTTTTTTTTTTTTTTTTTTTTTTTTTTTTTT